CAAAATTAGAGAATTAAAGATATCATTACAAAGTGAACAAATCTGAGAGAGGTCCACATGTAGTACCTATATATGTAATATCAAAGCAATTGCCCTTGCGGTTTTTAACAAGAAGTCGAAAATATCACTTTTTACCAAAAATGACAAAAATATTCACCAAAATTAGAGAATTAAAGATATCATCACAAAATGAACAAATCTGAGAGAGATCCACATGTAGTACCTATATATGTAATATCAAAGCAATTGCACTTGCGGTTTTTAACAAGAAGTTGAAAATATCACTTTTTACCAAAAATGACAAAAATATTCACCAAAATTAGAGAATTGAAGATATCAACATGAAATGATCAAACCTAAGAGAGGTCTACCCAAGGTACATATACACCAAGTATCAAAGCATTCAGGCTTGTAGTTTTCAAGAAGAAGTCGAAAAAGTAAAACATTGACACGGATGACGACGGACAATCACTCATATGATAAGCTCCGCTCGACAAAGTCGATAGCGGAGCTAAAAAGTTCTCTGCTGTTTCTGTTTCATAAAAAATAGTGTGCCACAGTAAATACCTTTGAAAGTGCCAATGTTGATGTTGATTGGGGGGTTTAAATTTTCACAAATTCAAAATGTCATGAATTTGTTTTATAATTTTTCAACAAATATAATTAATTAGGCAATGGGTTTATACATGTATAAGTACTCAATTTTAATAACCATATCGTAGTTTTTGTGTCAGAGTAAAGCTATTTACAATATTGCACCTGATTAGCTACCTAACCCTAACAGAGAATCTTGTTTTGTTGACAGGTTTGTTCAACCTATCAAATTCAGCCTTGTATATATGCTTCAACTCAACCACAGCTTTCCTACTCTGCATCTACAGTATTATATTAATAATGTTTAATTCACAGTGCCATATTCGATGAGAAGTTTATTCTATGCAAGATACACTCATAGAATCAACTGAACACAATATGACAATGCTTGATTTACTCTAAAGCCTGACTGGTACACAGGCTGTAGAAGGCCATGGCCCTGGAACATGAACATGCATATTGCTCTAAGCTGAAACACACAAATGACACTGAGTCAGTTGTAAACAACTGTGTACAGTTGATACATACATTGATTTGTTTCAACTCATTTGTATAATAAGCTTTTATTTTTACGTCACAAACCCAGCAACAGCAAAAAAGTTGCATGATTTTTTGTTGCCGAATTTAGTGTCAGAATGTATCAGGGTGATAGGAACTTAATAACATAATGCAATGTTCAAAGGGGCAGTGGTAAGTTACAATAATGTAGTGGCATGATGGTGTGAATTTTATAAGTTTTCTAGTTAAGATATGAATTCGCTTGCATGCATCTAAGATAGAAAGAGCAGTGTGTTAGAATCTCTACCTGTGGGATTGAATTCACATATGACACACATTAAAACGCACTGCTTGGTTAAAACAACACATAGATGTACCAGTAACAAAAATAAGTGTATGCAAGTCAATCACAATTGATAATTAGCGTTTGAAATGTGCCAGAAATAAAAGTTTTCGGGGAATAATATAACAACAACAAACTGTATCCATCCCTGGCATAACACTCAACATTGCACAGAGTCACTGCATAAATGATTGTATGTAAATGCTTCTGTGCATTTCATGGTACCCGGACAGATGACGGTTTAGTGGTTAAATAGTAACTTGTTTGAAATATTAATAGTGCAAATAATTTATATAACATGAATAAATTGTAAAGTATCAAAAAGTACTTTGGATATTTAGAGTTCAATCAATAATGAATATAGTGAATTTCATTAAGCTATGAGTTTTTGATGGAAATTTATAAAATGTGGAAACATTTACCCAAGAAGACATTCATGCTTCATTCAAATTTCAATACAGAAGATGATTTCATTGGCTAGTATATATGCTATTCAATAACACTCATCACTCACAAGTCTTTGTGGCTTTCTTTCAATCACTGGCTCATTTGCTACCATGCACATGAAAGTTTTTTTCTGAATAATGGTATGCATTCATTACAGTGCTTGTTTTAGGTAATTATAACATATTTATCGAACGTTTTATGCAAACCCAATCAAGACAGCTGAATTGGCTATAATAATTTGCATGGTGTTTCACAATGTGTCACAAAGCCAATAAGATTTTGGCTGCAAACACACATAGCTTGGGTGATCCCTTTTAAAGACATGTTTTGATTGGTCAACATTAGTTCTCAAATTTATAAATATGTTTAAAGACCATAAATATTGGAAACAGCATTTTTTTAAATACAGTACAATTCATGTCCAAGTTGTTTCCAACTCAGTCTGTCATCTAAAATTTTATTTATTTAATACAAACAAACAAATAAACAAACAGACAAACAGACAAACAAACAAACAAACAAACAAACAAATAAATAAATAAATATCTATTTATTATAAAAATATTTTACAATTTAGATGTATTCAAACTCACGGCAAATAATCCTCAAAATAAAAACATTCTAACACATATAAAAATATTTAAATACAAGATCAAATTAGCAATCACCATGCGGATACATCATCCATGTTATTGTTGGAACTAGACTGTGTAATGCACTCCCACATAAGAATTGGAAAAGAAATATCATCATTATGAATATGTTAATTGTATGAGATATTTACCTATTCCGGTTTTAGTCATCTTGTCTGTATTAATGTTTTTGTGCTCAATATCTCTGTCATTTTGTGACAGATCAAATAAATCAGAATCCGTACTTGAATGAAATTGACGACCAATCTTGAGTACACTCAAATTTTCATGAAGTCCATAGTCATCATATTTATCAAGTCTTACGGGCGAGTTGATGTTCACCGTTGTGTTACATGCCACTGATGATGTCGATGTGTACATTCTCGGCGATTGAAGTTCTTGATCTAAGACTCCACAAGGTGACACAGACAACATTGACAAGAACAGATTGATTGTTTCACCAGGAAAATGGTAAATCCAGGACTAAAGGAACGCTTTACACATCTCCATGTCAATTTCAAGATGACTCATTTCTTACAACATTTTCATAATTATATGATAATTTGATGAATCGCCGTGAAGGCGGACACTTTACAGAGGGCGTCCTGGCAAACACGATTACAAATATTAAAACAATCAATTAACATTTCGCCGTCGCGCATCTCTGAAATATTATGTAAAAAACCCGCTGCACCAAAACACAATGTACTATTGGCGTAAGGGACCTGCTGATAGCTAGCGTATGGACAACAACATTGACTGTTATTCATTCAAGGTGAACGCCCCTTGCGAGCATTCCCAAACATGCCCGATTTAAATTTCCATTGTCTTAAAATCTTTCGAAAGTGAATCAAAACTTACCACAGGTTCGGAATGATGCGCATGCTACAGGTAATATAAATAGAGTAAATAAATCTGTTACAGACCTGGCCCTCGTTTAACAGCCTAGTATATTATCCCATGTGATTCCATGCAAATTAAAAACAACGGCAGGTCATCCGCCATTTTCATTTTAGCCTTTGACATGTATATTACTCTGTCAGTTAGGGACTCTTCCTAAACGATTATCGCAATTTCTCGTTTTATGCTATATTAAAATTACCACTAAAACAGTGGTTTCTCAATTCAAATGGAATACTATTTCAACCATTGACTCATAATGTATGAATATTCATAGGTAAAATAACTTACGGGAGAATGGTAACTTTCCAAACATATGAAAAAACGGCATCTTGGGGGTTCTTGTTGTCGTTAAGGAAATTGTTTTGATCTGTTGGAGCTCGTTTTGGTTCATGTAACTGATTACTACTCGTATATTTGATAAAATATTGCCAACTGCGCAAAGTAATTTGAAAATATGAGTGAAGAAGCGATAGCGAAACCAGAAGAACCGCAAATAGAAAATACCTACACGATACGACCCAATTTTCTGTACAAGTAAGTAGTATTACAAATGACTAGATCAAAATGTGTCTCTGTTGGGCTTAATCGGGTGGCTACAGATATATTTTGTGATTTTTAATTTAAAATTATCTCGAATTATAGAACATTTTACCATTTTCTGTGGTAAACTGATGACCTAAACACACAATCAACATAAATGTTTAGTATGTGGTCTACACTGGCTATATCATGTACATATACATGTGGACCCTATAGGCTATACATGATGTTGTTGCAGTTCTGTATATTTGCATTAAATTCATTTGTAAACATATTTATAAATTTCACAATTAAAACTGAAATGGAAGATTGTATTGGCAGGGTTACACACCTATATTCTAACACCACCGCTATGTTCCGACATCATAATGTTCCGACACCCCTATATTTCGACATCCCTATATTCCAACATCCCTATATTTCAACAAATCTATATTCCGACACCCCTATGTTCCGACACCCTATATTCCAACATCCCTATATTCCAACATCCCTATGTTCCGACATCCCTATATTTCGACATCCCTATATTCCAACATCCCTATATTTCAACAACCCTATATTCCGACATCTCTATATTTCGACATCCCTATATTTCGACATCCCTATGTTCCGACATCCCTATATTCCGACATCCCTATATTCCGGCATCCCTATATTCCGACAAACCTGTGTTCCGACATTCCTATATTCCAACATTCCTATATTTCAACAACCCTATATTCTGACATCCCTATATTCCGACAAACCTGTGTTCCGACATTCCTATATTTCGACATCCCTATGTTCTTCATGTGGGCCTTTGAGAACTTGTACTCGAGGAGACCTAAATTATATTGTTTAGTACTTTTATGGTTGACGATCATTCAATAAATCCTGAGCCGGCCAGAATGTGCCATATTTTCAATGAAAATATGTACGCTCGTGTTCGGAAGCCAAATGTGGCCAAATACCCCTCCCCACGGTAGAACAAAGCAACATGTTTTTTCTCTGTTCAACGCGATCAGTATAGTTACAGAATACTGGTTGTACAATTAAAATGTGAGACAAAGCTGTCAAAATTTTCATGCCATAAAATAAACAGAAACATGGGAATTAATTTGGTAAATTTTGGTTTTTGAGATATAAAGGGTATAATTTCCCTCGAAAAATTAGGGTGAATGTGTTAGCTTTAAAAAATTAAACACAGCGTCAAATAATAAGTGAATTTAATGGGACCAACCTTATATAAAGAGTCTGGATTTGGAAGTTATTTAAGTGACGGACACCTCTTTTTCAAGATATTTGTATAATTACATAATAGCCTGTCACATATTAAATAGAAATTCCTCAGACAAACACCATCATGTTATATATCAAATTAAAGCTATTTTGATGTAGCGTACAAATATTACGTTGGTTATTACATTGTATAATCCATTACTTATTGACATTATGAATTCATTAACTTTATTATACATTATTCAAAATCATCAAATGGCATTTTTTGGGCAAATCCTATTAGTAATGACATATTCATGCATTTGAAAAAAATAAGTCTTTTTATGTTTTCTCAATATTTTATTTACTTATTTTACTTATTTATTTAAGAAAACGTTATTACACTGCCAAAAAATTACATATAACCGAAAATGGGATTCAAATAGATGGCGAGATGTTGTCTGACCTAAGATTTACATAATTGTACATTGTATTGTATTGTCGATCTAACAATAAGATAATTATGAGAGAATGGGCGAGAAATGTTAAGATCTTGCCTTCATGGATATTCAATTCAATCTATTGGGACATTCTGTATATAATGTAGTACCAGGCAAGGCCAGGCTTAATTTCCAGATGCAGCTGTATTTTTTAAGATTTCTGGGCTGGGCAAAATGACACTTCTTTGAATTATTGATATCAGTAATCAACTTTGCAACAGTTTGGGAGCCTATCTTCTAAAGGCTGGCTTGGATCACCTGGTTTAGTGTTGTTTTTTTTCTCCTCAGAAGCACAGTTAAAATAGCAACAAAGGTAAAATTTGTCAAGGTAGAATAAAACTTTGCTGACATTTGCTCTCAGTTTTTTAGCCATTTGTATTAGAACCAAAATTTGAAGTAAACTATGATAACAGAGTTACCGTACCGCGTTAGCACCCAAGGTCCTCAACTTATAAAATGTTTTAGGGGTGGGTGCTTACCCGAGCACCCCCCACGGAAAAGAGCGCAAATGACAATTTTAATTCACCGTGTGACAGATTGAGGGAGATATTACATCTTTGAGGGAAAATAAAATTACGAAAGTAGGTCTGTCGATTGTCATTGACTCTTACAATGAAGAAACGGAAATGGTCAAATATGCACATTTTATTACAATATTAATGGCATACCACCCAAATTTACGAGATTAATTAAATAGAGTCTGTTGGAATGTACATGTCACTGCATGGTATACCCTGATAAATGGCGTGTATTTACTTTAATGACACATGGCGACACAGGTTGTTACATAAACTCTTCTACTTCCCTGAATGAAAACAATTTTTTTTTTTTCTGAACCAATGCTTAATCAATTGAATTACTTTTCTAGAAACTTATATGAGAAGTCATCGTATTTATTTCAAGAGTGATGCATATGTAAATGGTTATGACAAATTTTATGGAAATAAACATATCATGTTGTATTATTTTCTATGATATAGTCTATAATGTATCATTTTTTAAAACTCTAGAATGGCTGCAAGAACCCTGAGTACTGAGTAGGTTTATGGATGAGCTGTGTAATGTGGTACTAGTATTTAGTCTGTATTCTACAAACGTATTCAACACTCAATATATTGACTTTTGAGAGGGAAATGTTTAAATGTGATTTGAAATTGAAAATGGTGTACATGATGACTTTTATGAGTTCTTCTCATAAACGTTGATGAATATATTTTGAATGTTTTATCTTGTATTCTCTTCATTGCTAGTGGACAATACTTACTGTAAAATCTGTATTAGAAACCACTGCTTCTATTAAAATGGTACAATGCAACAGAAGGGATGTGGCTTCTATTAGAGCATCTACACATATGTGAAATGAAGAATTTTTGGTTCTCAATTATTCAAAAAGAATGGGTGCAACTTCTATTAGGGATGCGGCTTCTAATACAGATTTTGTGTGAATGTGAATTAAATATACATGTACATATGAAAATGTGAAAAACATTTCAAAACATTTAAATGAAAGAATCTTTATATCTAATCTTTCTTCCAGATTCCGTCCAGCAGATGTAAAAGAAACCATTCATGTTGTTCTCAATGAAATGTTAGGAGATAGACAATATGATGCAGAGGAAACAACAACTTGGTGTAAAAATATATCAGATGAAATCAAAGACAGGCTTAAAGGTATACCATTGTACATGTGTATATATTTGTAATGATTCTCTTATTCAGCCTAATTTAACACATATACATGATGAAAATGAAAAAAAATAAAAAGTTAGCCATACTACAATGTACATTGGTCTATGAGTAACAGTACATCCTGTAGGAGTCTAGATCTCACAATAACCATAATAACTATTTTCTCATTCTGTACACTAAATACTTGTGATTTCCTTTATCCAAAATGTCCAGCTGTTTGGATTTATTTAGCACTACACAGGCTCTACTGATCAAAACTGACATATTTGTTTCACTGTAGTATGCGATTTATATGGTTATAAACACAATTTCTGTCACATATCTCACATAATTTAGAACATACCCCGGTAGATAAAATGGAAACTGAGCAGTTATTTTAACATCAAGGGAGTTAAGTAAGAATCAGTTATCCACCTAGTTCTAAAACACACATGCAGTCCAAAACAAGTTTATGTTTTTGGTGCTTTTTGTTTTTGTGCGTGTATGTGTGTGATTGTCAAGATTTGTTACTAAATCTGATGTTTTTATTTTCAGAAAAAGGAATGGACAGATATAAATTTTTAGTACAAGTTGTTATAGGTGAACAAAGAGGGGAAGGAGTCAAGTAAGTCTTAGGTCAAATTGCTCAGTCTAAAACATAAGGGTAACTACTATCACAGACTTGATTTGAGGATAACTGCCAACCATTTCCTATATTGAAGCTGTGTGAAAGTTTTGCATACAATGCAACTATTTGAGGTCATAATTCATTGGCTATAATATCTCAATCATTGACCAGCCAGATTCTACTATAGCACCAACACAGGGGACACCTAATAGAGTTCCACCGCAATACTTACAATATAAATACATTCCAATTTCATCTGTATAGGGGAGTTGTTTTTGCTACGTTCGCTAGCTCATCAGAATGATGGGAACCAGGGAAACCAGCTAACATGAGTTAGAAATCCACCCCTAATTCTTGCATGGAAACAAACTGATAGCGCTATAAATTGAAACTCATTTATTAAAGTGAGTTCAGTTAACAACATATACCGGTACCGTACTCTGGAGAAATTTATTTGAATTTTGTATACCGGGGTATTTTAGCATTTACATATGACAGTTTGTAAACTGACTATAGCCCCATTAAAAATATACTTTTTTTTCACTACTGTCAGTTACTGTTCAGTTAGTTTTGTACAACATGCATATGGTGCTATGTACTCTATATATATATTCCTGTGTTGTGGGTTTACCTTACTTGGCTCTAGGTTATGCACATTTTAGTACAATACTGCAGAATTGTTTCTAAATCTAGTTACTTGTTGTGAGATATTTCTATAGCTGCAAGATGAAAACATAAATCAGTAATTTTTAATTATCAATTATTTGACTTTATTTCATCAGAATGGCATGTAGGTGTTTCTGGGATTCTGATACAGATAATTATGCACAAGATATTTATATGAATGTAAGTATGTCATGAATAATTCAATGCATAACACTTGATATTGACATGACCTTTCCCAAGAAACCTCCATTGACTATTCTTTAGCTCAGTCGTTATGGCTCTACCTCCTGTGGTTGATGTAGTCATTTCAACACCTTATTTCGCCAACTTTTTCAATGATTGAGAAAGAAATCTATCTCCCTGTCAACTCCAGACGTCCCACCTTGACCAAAACTGCTCAGTCCTAGCCAAGGTTCAAGGTCTGAGATACAATAGCATAGCATAGTGAATTACAAATTATGCTGCAGTTATGTGGCTAAGACAATGCCAGTTTATAAAATATGCCATAGTTATCTGTAGCAATTACACTTAGCATATGAATGCAACTGTAGAAATTACATTGTGCATATTCATAGATTCACAAAAAATAAACCAATGGACAAAACAATAGGTCACATGACCAAAAGTGCTATAATTGTGGTAAGCCATTATTTGCGACATTCACGTTAAAGGATCTTGGCACATACCGAAATTGTTAATCCTTTGCGTTTGCAAATGGATTACAGCAGTTGCGTTCATGTTAGTCAGGCCACACTTGGGACCAACTCGGCTCGTGCCAAAATCATGCCCTCATTCTTTGATCTATTATTTGACACAATAGGCATATGATAATAATAATTGCTATATTGAAATTATATCTATCTGTTATGGTATGGTATTATGAGTCATTGTGCACATGAACGGCAAAGAAGATTCGAAAAACAATATTTTTTTTTCACGTCGATGGAGTATTGCAAAAAAAAGGTTACATCAGCTCATAAATATGCTTCACTGACGGCGTTCTGCATTTATTTCATTCATTAATACAGCATCTGATCATATATAGCTTCACTTCTTTCCATTGGCTTGTCATACTAGTATGAATCAGTATATGTTCTCTTAAATTCACCACCGAGGGCATGATTTTGGCTTGTGTTGAGCATTCAGGTAACCAATCTTGGCATGTGCCGAGTTTCGGTCCCAAGCATCTATCGGGGCCAAGATCAAGTTTTTTTCGGCACATAATGACTCAGTCCCAACCGTTCGTCTTTGCCAAGATCTCAAACATGAACGCCATTAATATGTGGACATAATATCCTTTTTATGTTTGTTTTTAGGATTCCTTATTTTGTGTGGCTGCTGCTTTCGGTGTTTACTACTACTAAATGGTCTATTGTGCTGTACATCCATCCATTGTAAATATCTAACAACATTGTGTTTTTGTAACCACTCCCCATCATATTACCTGGTGTATAAAACTAAACTGTTCCTTTAGTTTTACTAGGTTACAAAGTAATCTTGTTTTCAATCTATACACTGGGTTACATTTTTACAATGCTATAAGTTTAACTTTGTGCACATGTTTATGTGTAATCACCATGCTGCCCATGTGCAGGCTAAAATTCTTGTGGTCTCAATAACTCTATTATCAGATCGTTTCCAAACTTGGTCATGTTAATGACCAATTTAAAACCTCGGAAAATTTTTATATGTAATGAATGTATATAAATTAAGATAAAAAACATGCATTTTACAACTATGTAGATAGGCTATGTGAATAAGAGTCCAGAATAAGGTTCAGGCACTGATGGGTTTTTGTTTGTAATTTTTTTTCATTTGTATTAAATTCTTTGATATTCAAGAATTGCTGTTTCTGGAAGTTTTTCTTCTTCACTGTGTTTTTGCCTTGGAGTGTCACTTCAATGATCAAGGTATATGCATAAGAATTCTGAATTTCATGGAAGAAAGATATTTTTGTAAAAGTTTGCATGTTCTTGTTTATGTCTGGTAGTGTTGCACTATTGCACCAGTGAGTTTGTGTGACCCATCCACCCACCCAACATGCTGATTGATGTCCTCAACAATGATTACATTACTGTTCATCCCCAACATGTATAACCAAGTATCTCAGCACTGATTGATCATTGGTTAATGTTGCCTAGCAACAAGGTATTCCAGGTATGACCCACAATTTTGTGCATGCTTTTATTTTACGATTGTGTATGTCGCCCTCAAGACTAGGTGTCGTTCAATAACAATCACAGCAGCTGAGATCTAAAGTTGGGTTTTGTTTCCATGGTTAATGATAATTCTGAATTCATGTCACAAAGTATCTGTGCATGACCTAATCACTTGTCATACATAAACTCTAGAATTTATTCAACGAGTCTGTATCAGGATTTTCTTATTCACATTTCAGTGTACCTCACTTCCGTATTTGCCCCACAGCAATTTAGCGTTTTTACTGATCTGGTACATCCAGTGATAATGTAATTCTACTTATGACCAATTGTGGAATACAAAGATCAGAATTTTGGCAACTTCCTTGAAATTTGCATCTATTCCACTCCAAAAACTGATTATCTAATTAGCCATAACACAGAAAGACCCCTCTTTGCTCCTGGCCAGAAGAGGGCGCCCTTGTGTAATACTAACAGTAGTGTCGAGTGGTAATGATATACTGTAAACCGTTAATTTTCACTGATAACAATTTTGCTGATTTCAGGATTCTATGGCATTGATGAAGACAACATATCACAAGATTGTAGTACCACAATTTTTACTGCTGAAAAATTTCTCAAAATGCAGACTCAGAACTGTGGAATACATGTACCATTAAAACAGCTCACAAACTAAACTATAAAGTAATCCTGAGCAACCAAATTTATACATGTTGTTCACGTAGGGGTAATCTTTTCACGCTGTTCTAGTTCAGGAGGATCTCCACAACTATATTAAAGTAGTTTTGAGTTTTTGGCCTTTGTTTCACCACGATGGTTGAGAGGCAGTGCAAATGTCTGGTCCAGAGAATACATTATGTACCATAGAACACAAGACTACTACTACAACAACAACCTTGCATGCAAAGAAAACAAAAACTATGCACAAGAATATCACTTTTTTAAAATTTATTCAAATTTTTAGAACAGTTATTTTTACAATTATAGTCAATATAGATTCATTTACGACAGCCAATCAGTCATTTCCACTACTAATAGACTGTTGAACCATTGGAGTACTTCAAGATTTTCTGAATCACCTAGATTGGTCAATATTCACAGAAGTCTGCAGCTACATCTTGCATTTGATGAGCATACAATCTAAGAAACTAGTCTAAAATTTTTGTTTATTTAGCCTAGTTTTCTCAGTTTCTAATTTTTTTTTATAACTTTCAGTACATATTTTTCTTCTTGTTAATTTGGAACACAATCCACTGTCTGTAAATATGATAGAAGGCAGACATGCACTCGTCATTAATATGTGAACATATCAATACTGACTAAGGTTCGACAGGCGGTTCAGAAAAATGTCCTGTGTACTTATCCACATGGACCCACTTGTTACCTTGATATATTGCGTTAAAAAAAGCCATGTCTGTTAAAAACATCAACCACCACAATGAGCTACACAATGGTGTACAACTGTTCAACCCTGTGCTTGTTTAAGGACTTGTATCTCTAAGTTAAGTATAGTATTTTTACTTTACTAAAGATATTTGAAGCTCTGAAAATCAAAATTCTCACTGAAAATGACCTTAAGTTGTGAGAACAAAAATACAATTTTGTTTTGTTTTGTATGTATGATTACAACATGCAAATTTTTCTTCATATTGCAAACATTAAAAAAAATATGATGAAAAATACAACTATATCTTGTTTTCACACACAACATATTTCATTTTATGAAATAGGAACTCCATAATATAAATCATACCAGAACTTGTACATGGAGTAGAGTTTTGAATATAGTAAAATATACCAAGCTTTATAATACAAAATATACTTGGTATTCCTTTTCAATTCTTAAATCAAAAAAATGAATTTAGAAGACTTGACCCAAGTTAATGCAAGCTCCTGTTTTTGTCTTGATTGTATCCTTGGCAAATTAACATATGGTGGCTGTTATGTCTAACCTTCATCACTATCTTCCATAGGACTTGTAGGACTGTATGACGGTGATGTTGGGGAATACCCTGGAGAAGTTGGGGAATATGTTGATCCTTTTGGACTTGTTGGAGAGTATGTGGGTGATGTTGGGCTATACTTGGGGCTGGTTGGTGAATATGTGGGTGAAGTAGGACTGTACTTTGGAGATGTTGGCGAATAGGTTGGGCTAGTTGGAGAATATTTAGGGCTTGTCGGCGAATATTTGGGACTTGATGGGGAATAACTTGGGCTAGCTGGCGAATATGTAGGACTTGTTGGACTGTATTTCGGTGAAGTTGGGGTGTACTGGGGAGAACTTGGACTGTAACTCGGTGATGTTGGACTGTATGATGGGCTTGTTGGCGAGTACTTAGGGCTAGATGGGGAGTAACTAGGAGAGCTTGGGCTGTAACTAGGTGAATGTGGGGAATATTTGGGTGAACTTGGACTATAACTAGGTGATGTTGGAGAGTAGCTCGGTGATGTTGGGGAGTAACTTGGAGATGAAGGACTGTAACTCGGACTGGTCGGTGAGTAACCAGGACTAGTAGGTGAATAGTTTGGTGATGTTGGTGTATACTGTGGTGAGCTTGGTGAATAACTTGGACTCGTCGGACTGTACGATGGGCTAGTTGGACTGTAGCTTGGCGACGTCGGCGAGTAGCTTGGTGAAGTTGGACTATATGATGGACTTGTTGGTGAATAGCTAGGTGATGTTGGGCTGTAACTTGGCGACGTTGGACTATAACTAGGGCTTGTGGGAGAATAACTGGGACTTGTCGGGCTATAAGATGGTGAAGTCGGGCTGTAACTAGGACTCGTTGGCGAGTAACTGGGACTAGTTGGTGAATAACTTGGACTGGTCGGAGAATATTTTGGACTAGTCGGTGAATATCCTGGACTTGTTGGAGAGTACGATGGTGAAGTTGGGCTATATGATGGACTCTGTGGTGTAACTGAAGGTGAGCCAGGTTCATAAGCAGGTGAAGTTGGAGCATAAGTTGGTGACATAGCATCACTTGGTGATGGCATGTATGGACTAGTAGGACCTGGTGATGATGGTGATCCTGGTTGAGGCGACCATGCTGGGCTATAACCGGGACTAAATCCACTTGCATCTGACTGAGCTGAAGGACTGAATCCTGCTGCACCAGGGGTCATTCCACTCCCTAGAAAACAATCAAGAAACCAGAGTTACTGAGATATCCTCCACACTGTTCTTTAGGCACAGCACGAGTTACTTGCATCTATGCAAGTTCAGACTAGTCAACAATAAGGCAGATAATAGAAGGCATAGAGGAGAAATAAATAAATAAATATTATCATAGTAGAGACTCACCAACACCAGGTGACCATGCGGCGCCATACGCCGGTGTTGCTCCTTGATTCCAGGGTGTCATCTGAGGAGACATGCCAGGAGCTGGGGTACCAAGTGATCCAAAGAAGATGCCAGTAGTACCACCTAGAATACAATTTATAATTTTTAATGCAATTCATATTCAAATAATAGAAATTCTACAAACTGTTCCCAACCATCAGTATTAAAACAGTTAAGTTGTCCGAGAATAATATTATGAAGGCCATCCATCCATGGTTGATAATAAAAACGGACCACTAGACATCATCACAACATTCAATTGTATTTAACCTAGTGGTCATCAAAATGCATACAATGTACCAAGCAAATGTAGGTTTTTATAACAAGAATATTTCATAATTAGTTATCTTCATGGTTGCACATCTCACAATATGGTTGACAGTGAGTGGGCGATACAGACAACAAAATACAAGCAACAACACTTTTCTCAGTCAGTTACCTACCTCCAGGCATTAATCCAATATTACTTGGTATCTCCATGCCATATTTACATTTTTCACCATCCAGTAGTAAATCAAATGATCCTGTTCCAATCTTAGCTAACTGACCCAACATGATATTTTCACTGACACCTTTCATATGATCTGTTTCTGCATGCATTGCGGCATCCATTAGAATATCAACCTATGAGTAAAATACATAATTGCATTACATTCCTGTGAGAGACAAAGCTCTCTTGACAAGAGAAAAAGGCACAAAAAACATGAAGTGTTACCTATCTGCCTTTTTTTTTTTTAGTCAGGTTCCAGATTTCTCAGTGAAATTGGGCACCCTGAGAAACTTTCTTTTTAATTTCATGCATTTTAAAATTAAAATAAATCTTATTGAATTTTAGATGAAATCACAATATACCAAAAATAATGAGGGGGATCAATGCCATATTTAATGGCCGGGATTAATAGTATTGTTCAAATGAAGCCAGTCAAGGCATATAGCAAACATGTTTAAATAGTGATTTTTTAGAGGGGAAACGCATCATTTGAATTCACCAATCAGTGCAAGGGATGTGTTTGTGTTTCATATGCCTGATGTTTTAGCAAGAAGAAGAATGTTAGATTGTGATATAAATGAGACTTTCAAGATACTGACAGCACAGCGTTTTCATGATAGCTACAGAAAGTGTTGTGCTGATAAATAAGTATAAAAATAAGTTGATAAATAAGTCACAGTATAAAACAGCATAGAAATGAAATCTACTTACGGTTTCTTCAAACGAGCACCTCATAAGAGCACCAACATCTTGTCTATTGATACCATGTCTTGTAATGGCCATTAAATGTCCTTTCGCTGTCATGATATCACAGAGTAAAGCTAAATGACGATAGTTTACATATGAACCATCAAAAGAGATAACATGGTTTAATTCCTTCTCAACAGACTTCCTGACAGCTTCAATACCCAACACCTGAAAGTAAATTTAAATTATTAAGAACGAATTGTCCCAAAGTTTACTCACTATAGATTGAAACATTATCCATTAGGTTACCGGATATGTACTGTATGGGATTATGTAACGCTACCTGGAATATTTCACAGATATCATTGGAAGTTGTTCTGACTGGGTCCACATCTCTTTCACTTAATACTTTCATCAATGATGTACCATCAGTTTCTAGAATCCATTCCTGCAAAGCCTTGAACTCGCCACTTTCTGTTATAATAATACGCTTTTTAGATTCTTCTTTTGGTAAATGCAAGTACACCTAGAATTGAAAGAAAACTTCCCATTACAGAATATTTCATTTACCCATCAAGAATCTGGTATTCATTGCATCAAGAATACTGTGATTTTTGTTATGTCCACTGAAGACATGAACAGAGAATATAATAATAATGATAATATTTCAACTGTGACATAATATGCAGATTCAAATGAACAAAGCAAAACAAACACTTCAGTGAAAACACTGATAGAATTGTTTAAACTTACTTTACTAATCTGCTCAATGCCTTGTAATGTCATATCTGTTAACATATTTGCTTCTATACAACGCAAGAATACATCATCATCCATCTTATCAACCTGTTCTTCTTCCTGTCAGGAGAACATCCATGATTAAGAATTGATGACAATTACCAAATTGAATATATGCACTCAAATAAGTCAAATCCATATGAATAGAAATGAACACACAGTTATGTACATGTAATCAATAGATTTTGAAGTAGATAGACATTGGACAATCTGTGCACACTGATGAACAAAGTAATAAGTTGATGCATAATAGAATTTTATGTTATCCACAATAATATCATGATGTACTGTCTGAGCAAAGACAACACACAAATGCGGAAAAAACAAAATATAGGAGTCAATACAAAAATATATACTTACATCCTGGTACTTATTTTCATCACTGTTCATTATTCGTATCCTCAATACTAATTTCTCAGCATTATCATCATTAAATATACAATTCAAGTCATCACCAAATCCGGCATTAATTTTCTCAGCAATTTGTTCCATGGACAGTTTCTTGTCTGTCATACGTTTACGATCCAATTCAATACGTAATAACCATGGTGATATTCTTGTTGGATCAAAATCAGGCATTTCATAATAGACATTAACCCAATCTTGGTCTTCAGTAATAACAGTGTTTTGTGGATCTGGATCATAATATATAGCTGTATTGGCAGTGACTTTACGTAATGTTGTATGTTCCAATCTACACAGTACATCCTACAGAGAAATAAAAATATGATTAATCTTTGACATTCTGAATTTTGAATAGATTAAATTACCATACCAAGGGAGAGGGAGTGTTATTTTAGTCCAAGTCCTGAATATAGAAAATCAAAGGCAGTAACCATGGCAGCAACCTTGATCTGACCCATTGAATGCCCGTCTGTAAGCACGTCAGGTTTGACTACATAGAAAGTATGAATAGATACAAGAAGAGATAATTTGATTCTTGAGCATACCTTGGCCTTCTCTGCATCTCTTGCTGCCTGTCCAGTAAGGAATACAGTTAAAGAAGGAGTCTTTGGTTTCTTAGATATATTGATAATTTCCTTGAGTCGAGGTACACCAAGTGTTACATTCTTAGCAGATACACCAGCATAATGAAATGTATTCAATGTCATCTGTGTAGCTGGCTCACCGAGAGACTGAGCTGCCAATGGACCACACATTTCACCTGCCTGCGCCTAAAGTTAACAAGAAACAATAAATTGTATGACCTGGTTTGAGAAAAAACAAAAAAAACTAAAATATAATGCATGTATCTATATTAAAACTGAAAATTTAATCAAATGTTGGTTCCAAAATTCAGGTTCCTTTCCAGAAATATTGAAGATTATAGGAAAGAAATGCAGAAAAGTTTGGGTGATAAAGTCTGTTGGTGAAAAGAATACGCAGATTATAGTGTAATAACAGAGTACCCTACATACCTGTGACTGCTGGAATCTAGTTTCAATTTCGCCAAGTAACCATTCAAATGCTTCAGCTGATAACCTGAACTCTTCAGTAGCCCTTCTAGAACACAGTGTAGCTCTTATTAATATATTCATATTCAATGTGGCATTTTCCTGTGCTTGTCTACTGATTGAATCATCCCCCTTCACAATAACCAGTTTCTTTGTTAATTCACTCAGACCTGAATAAAAAATGCAATTTAAAAAGGTAATTCGGTGCAATGGCATCTCTCAGTTTGACATCTTATACCTGTGGGGATGCAAGCAGAAATTCAACATCCAGTTGGCTACATGACTTGTGGGACCAAGGAAAGTATATTACAATTTATGAACTTATTATACCGAGGTAGAAAGATCAAAAATAACTGATGACTTCTCCCAACATCACAAAAAAAGTCAAGAAAGTTCACCTTCAATAACCTTCACAGGATGCAGGTCTGTAGGTTTTCTGACGTTAATATGGAATATCTTTTTAGCATTCCAAATCATACGCTGTAAATTACATGGCAAAACAACCTGTAACAAACAAATCAAATATTGTTATAATGGAGTAGTATATAGGTGAACACATTGTTGTCTCATATGCTTGTTGTACATTACAGCAACCACATGCACACAAGATGACATGTCAAATGTGTAATGTCAAAACCATAGCAGCATACAATGTACAATGAATACATACTTTGCTTTCTCTTGTAGGAAATATACTCCTTAGAGTATGACGATCTTCTTTTAACAATTCAAACTCTTCTTCCAATGCAGCTTGAACTTGCGCACTACCAATGATATCTTTGACAACATCTTCAGTTAAAAATCGTCTTAGAACCCTAATACAACCATCAAAACATTACACAATAGTGACTAACAGATTCATACACACTTTACAACTTAAGAACACATCAAAGTTAAAAGCTAGTTAGTGGCAGAATGAGTTCCTGTTATTACCTATCACTGGTGTAATCAAATTTAAATCTCTTTTCAAAGGCTTGATTTGATGGTTTCATGGAAGGCATATCTTGGAACTCTACATGAGCCCCATCTAGACCATCTTCACCATATCTCAGCTGTACCAATGCATCATTACTATTACGTACAGTACCATCATATCGTACCATAACACTTTCCATAGCTTTAATCAAACGTCGCTGGATATACCCTGCAATAAAAAATGTTATTTTAATATTAGTACCAAAATATATACCGTACTCGACCGCGTTAGCGCCCATGCCCGGGCAAGCGCCCACCCCCCACTTTTGCGCAATTTTTATATTTGGGGTCACATTCGGCAAAGCACCCACCCCTTCAAAATGCAACTAATTTAAAACTTGGTCTTGCCTAACGAATCTTGGTAATCGTTTTTTATATGATACAGCGTGGATATCGACTGTTGTGAACATGTGAATGCGTAGAACACGGTAACCGTGCGTAAACTACGCTTCGACAATGACCTGTTAATACAAGTAAAATGCGGTAAATATTTCATGCCATATACAGTTTACCTCTCAAAAATGGCTAGTTACTAGTTTTTTGGAAAAACTGTCGTTTATTCGCTGAAATCAATTCCAACAGATCGTACTTCGACGTCGATAATTCACTTCCGCATTGCGTTACCGGAACGTCTTCGGGAATTTCCGAAGAATTGCGTCAAGTACAAC